TGCTCACAGCTCCCAGTGGCCGCGGATCACTGTTCCTGGCCAATGGGAGCTGCAGGAAGCGGTGGCCTGGCCCGCGCCGCTTCCCACAGCTCCCAATGGCCAGGAACAGTGATCCGCGGCCACTGGGAGCTGTGAGCAGCCGTACCCGCGGACGCTCAGGTAAACAAAGCCTGCCAGAGGCTTACCCTGAACAAGCCGCGAACCAAGTTTGGGAACCCCTGTAATAAGGTATAGACCCGTTGCTAAATTAAGATAGTAAAATTATTAATAAGGATACAGAAAAGGCAGAAGTGTTCAATAAATATTTGTCTACTTATTTAGAAAGAAGCAGGATGGTTTACTCACATCACTTGGGCACGAGGAAGTACTTCTCAGTCCGTTAGTAACTCTGGAAGATGTTAAGCAGTATCTACTAGGGCTTAACATTTTAAAATTAGCAGGTTTGAATAACATGCACACAAGAGTTCTAAAAGAGCTGTCTGAGGAGATTGCTGTCCTGTTGATGTTAATTTTTACTAAATCTTGGAATACTGGGAAAATTCCATAAGACTGGAAGAATGCTAATATTATGCCAGTATTCCAAAAAGGCAATCAGGATGATCTGGGTAATTTAGTCAACTACTCTGATTAAAATCCCAGCCCAAATAATGGAAAAGATGGTATGGGATTCAATCAATAAAAAATTAAAGGATGAGAATATAATTAGTCCCAGTTAATATGGTAATTGTTAACAATGGCAACAGTGTGAGGATATTGATATAACCGGCACCACAGAAACTTGCTGAACTGATGATAATCAATGGGACATGGTAATACCAGGATACAAAATATATAGGAATGACAGATTAGGTTGCTCTGGTGGGGGAGTTGTGCTATATGTGAAAGAAAACATAGAGTCAAATATAGTAAACATCTTAAATGAAGCAGACTTTACCATAGCATCTCTGTGGATAGAAATTGCATGCTTGTAGCAGTAAGAATATACTATTGATCACCTGATCAGGATAGTGATGGTGATAGTGAAATGCTCAGGAGATTAGAAAGGCTACAAAAACAGAGAACCCAATAATAATGGGGGCGTTAAACTATCCCCATATTGACTGGGTACATGTCGTCTCAAGATGGGATGCATGCAGAAATAAAATTTCTGGACATCATTAATTACTTCTTCTTGGAGCAGGTATTGCTGGAATCCACACTGGGCGAGGCAATTCTGAATTTAGTCCTAAATGGATCACAGGATCTTGTCCAAGAGGTGGCTATAGCTGCACCACTCAATAATAGTGACCACAGTGTAATTAAATTTAACATTTTTGCAGGAGCGGGAGGGAAATATCAAAGAAACCCCACCAAAGTAGAGTTAAACTCAAAAAGGGGAATGGCACAAAAATGAGAGAGATAGTTAAATGAAAAGGAACAGTCACAGGAGTGAAATGCCTGCAAGCTGCATGGAAACTATTTAAAAATCATAACAGAGGCTCAAAATAAATGTTATACCCCAAATAATAAAAATAAGTAGTAATAATAATAAAAATAGTAGAAGGACAAAAAACTCACAGAGTGAACAGCAGAGTGAAAGAGGTGATGAGAGACAAAAAGGCATCCTTTAAAAAATGGAAGTCAAAATAGTACTGAGGAAAATAGAAATGACCATAAACTCTGGCAAGTCAAATGTAAAAATATGATTAGGTAGTCCAACATCAAATTTGAAGAGCAACTAGCAAAAAACACAAACACTTTTTAAGTACATCAGAAAGGAGGAAGCCTGCTATTCAGTCAGTGGGTTCACTGGACACTCAAGGTGCTAAAGACGCACTCAGAGAAGACTAGACCATTGCAGGGAAGCTAAATTAATTCTTTGCATCAGTCTCTCCACTTCAGAATTCTTGGGTGAATACCATCTGGTCCTAGTTTTATAGATTCATAGATTCTAGGACTGGAATGGACCTCGAGAGGTCATCGAGTCCAGTCCCCTGCCCTCATGGCAGGACCAAATACTGTCTAGACCATCCCTGATAGACATTTATCTAACCTACTCTTAAATATCTCCAGAGATGGAGATTCCACAACCTCCCTAGGAAATTTATTCCGGTGTTTAACCACCCTGACAGTTAGAAACTTTTTCCTAATATCCAACCTAAACCTCCCTTGCTGCCGTTTAAGCCCATTGCTTCTTGTTCTATCCTTAGAGACTAAGGTGAACAAGTTTTCTCCCTCCTCCTTATGACACCCTTTTAGATACCTAAAAACTGCTATCATGTCCCCTCTCAGTCTTCTCTTTTCCAAACTAAACAAACCCAATTCTTTCAGCCTTCCTTCATAGGTCATGTTCTCAAGACCTTTAATCATTCTTGTTGCTCTTCTCTGGACCCTCTCCAATTTCTCCAAATCTTTCTTGAAATGCGGTGCCCAAAACTGGACACAATACTCCAGTTGAGGCCTAACCAGCACAGAGTAGAGCGGAAGAATGACTTCTCATGTCTTGCTCACAACACACCTGTTAATGCATCCCAGAATCACGTTTGCTTTTTTTGCAACAGCATCACACTGTTGACTCATATTTAGCTTGTGGTCCACTATAACCCCTAGATCCCTTTCTGCGGTACTCCTTCCTAGACAGTCTCTTCCCATTCTGTATGTGTGAAACTGATTGTTCCTTCCTAAGTGAAGCACTTTGCATTTGTCTTTGTTA